CATAATACACGAAGGCTGGACCAAAACACGACAGCGGGAATATAAAAGCATCGTCAGGAGGAAAGATGTTCCCAGTGCGACCTTTCAGGAGCTCCATATTCAGTGATTGTGTGTCAGAAAATGTAAAAATCCAAGTTAAGCTTTCAGGATTGTAGTGTTTGAAATTGTCCTTAAAAAAAAAAAAATTCAGAGGAAGTCGAAATCAGTACCATCTGGAGTTTTAGCCAATCATCCTCCAGCGTCCTGCCATTATTCCACGATCTAGCGGACAGACAAAAAACAAACTCTCCATCCTCTCCTCTGAAGAAAACGATTTAAAGTCTGAGTTCGTTAATCCCACGCTGAATCATCACATCGGTCTCTGTCGGAGAACGCCTCCGTCGCCGCTTCCTGCTGCATCGCTGTTCTCTTTCAGCAGAGGTCTGAGCTCTAAAAACACACAAATAAGCCCGTCTGTTACTGAAATGGACCTGAAAACCTGTCTGTAGAGGTTTGTAAAAACAGTTCACAGTGTTTCCCAACATATAAAACACTTCGGGTTTTATATAAATCGACACCGAACGTCTTTTAATTCAAAGTCTATCAAAATGCTGCGTCAACTGTTCACAACTTACAATTTAGTATTTAATAAAAGATCAGGCACTGACTGGGTCATTGAAGAATATCAGATTTCTCTGCCAGATTCCGAAGGGCTCGAGTGGGAACTTATTCTTCCAGATTTGTAACAACTTTAATATTAAACCTGAGGCTGAAGCCTTGAAACTGCAGCTGTTATTCATATTCTGGAATCGCAGGAAACTGGTTCTGCTGGTTGAACCATCATCTCCTCAGAAACCTGCAGTCTGTCGCTTCTCTGTCCCTCCCGTAAATAAACACCACTGTGATGTCAGATTATACTTTATCTTCCACATCCTTACGAGAGCATCCACTCCTCCCAGTGAGATTTCAAAGCTGTTTCTTTTCTCACCTTTCATCTCCGTTTCCGTCTTGCTGCAGTTTTCTTTGGACGAGTTTGGACCCTCGTCGTTATCAGGC